ATTCCACAATAATGCGTGATTCTTGAATATATACAAGCTGAAAAAAATATTGAAGAATTTAAGGCAATAGTTTAATTTGTAATAATTGAGTTTCAGTATTTTTACTCCTTGTTGTTTAGTCAAAAATTAAATTCGCTTACTCAAGATATAGTTGTCGATCAGCAATGAACTAAACAAAATAAGAATACTTCAACCACATCGAATATGACCTGACATATGTAAGTCCTCAGGAATTCTGTCTTCTCGCCCTATATCATGAGTTGCTGATCAAGGTCAACGGATGAAGATGTGTCAGTCAGTCAGCTACAACGTAGAAATCCATGCATACGAGCATACGTTCAGATTGCCATACCGCATTGGCACAGACACGATAATGTCAGTTCAAACTCATAGTGGTAAGTGTACTTGAAGAGTTGGAGGTAATTGAGGAGAATAGGGTTCGAAGCAATTTTTCAAGAAGTTTAATTCAGTGATTTAACGTCAAAAAGAAGAAGATGGAGGGTGATGGTGAGTTTTTAGGAATATAATTTCACAGAAAATAAAGAGTGAGTGCACCTGCGCCATTGCTAATTATTTTGAGCCATGTCATTCAAGGTCGCTAAGCATTGATTATTACAACCTCTCTAAAGTCAACCAGGTAGTCTACACTAACAAACATGACTCAGTCAGCTAGACGAGGTTAGCGGTGTTTAGACATTCGTATCCCATTTCTAATCTACCCCGAACGATGAAGCTGCAATACTTCATCGATGGATCGGCCATCCCTACCTTGCTCCAGTTTCTCAACGACAGCATTGCCTATTCGTTTGTTCGAGGATACACGACCGATGCTTGGCAAAAACCAGTAGAGCCTTCTGTATGCGCGTTGAGATTTCGTTACAGTCCAGCTCATCAGCTCTGATGATACTGCCAAATTTATTGAAGCTGTTGACGTCGATTTATTTCACAGTTCTATTTTCGATCTTGTGCAGCAGGCATCTGCTTGACGATTACGTAAACTAATATCAAATTTATCTGCTCATCAATCTAATCTCCTCGACTGAAAATGAATAACAAGGGATAAATATAAATATGTTCATTATTTCCAGCACAAACCTGAAAAACCAACTTCAATATTTAAAACCTACACCAAATAATAAGTATTAATTTACCAGCAACCTTCACGACGTTTCTCTTTCAAATTCAAAAGTTATTGAAGCTAATGCAACTGACTGATTGAAACATAGTTATCAATACCTTTGAATCAGAACAGAGAGTAGCCTGAATTTTGAAGCGAGCCATCAACCTAAGCAATCTCTGTTGTTATTTTTTGTTATCTATTCACGCCTTTTATTGACAATTAGGCGTAAGCCTACCTATTCTGTTCAGAGTCATCTTTCCTTGCAGTTCATTCTCTTCACTTCCATCCCCGAAAACCCGTGTTATATGTTCTTGACTCATCCTCCCGTTTCCCATCATTCTTATGCTGGTTATTAGTATTACTATCACTAACTAACTTGTTTTCATAGCTTATAGTATTATACCTACATAAATTCAGCAATTTTCGAATACTCGTAGTAAACATGTGCTGCATTATATATAATTTTCACAAGTTGCTCTTTAGTTAGGACTTACAAATGAAATAAAAACGATTTTGTTTGAATAAGGTCTGCACTTGTAAAAGAAAAGTATCTACTGTTCAGCTATAAACATTCAAAATCGAAAAGTCATTACAATGGAATTACGTGATAGCGTGTAAACGTGTAAATTAGTTTCTTTTTATGGTTTTTCCTATTCTAATCAGTCAATGTAGGTCAGTTTAGTAACATGTGGTTGTTTTTCGTTTTTTTTCACTGATTTTCTGCAGGAATTTGTATACGTATTTCTATTTATTTTATAATCGATGTCATATTCACACATTTGATAGGCTAATGAAATTTCGAATCGAAGATGAGTGAGACTAAATGTCCCACGTTTGAAGTTGTGAATTCACATAACAGTCTAGTAGCACATTGAGAACAAACGACTACCCAATGTTTCCAGTTTTCTGAAGGTGATGTGAAATAATTCATTTCGTGATTTCAGTCAAAATGTATATTTTTCATTAATAAATGTACTGCTATTCTTACTTTACTGACAACAAATTTCTCTTATCGTAGAATGCATTGATAATTCAAATGTATGAAAAAATGTATTTTGGTTCATTTTCGAAGTAACAAACTGCGAACCGCATAGTAAGATTAGAATTACGCAATTTCGTTTTATAAAATATTATGCGATTGAACATTGTAAAGTTAATAGATGATGTTTCACGACAACATATGCTTATCAGGTGAATCGTACTACTGAATTGAGAGAAGTTTGAACGGTACACAATGATATTCTCGTGAAAATATTATAAAATATGTCTATAATAAGAAACAGTGCTACCTAGAGTAATATGTCAGTTATATAAAAAAATATTTAAATGATGAAATTTGGCAAAGTGTTTCTATAACTGAATTGACATACTATTATGATTTCTGTTTTTTTCTAACGTTGTGACCTGATTAGTTCTTTAGAAATTTTTTCTACTTTTAAAATTTGGCCATATTATCTATATAGTGATTCTACAATAATGCGTGATTCTTGAATATATACAAGCAGAAAAAATTATTGAAGAATTTAAGGCAATAGTTAAATTTGTAATAATTAAGTTTCAGTATTTTTACTCCTTGTTGTTTAGTCAAAAATTAAATTCACCTACTGGAGATATAATGGTCGATCAGCAATGAACTAAACAAAATAAGAATACTTCAACCACATCGAATATGACCTGACATATGTAATCCTCAGGAATTCTGTCTTCTCGCCCTATATCATGAGTTGCTGATCAAAGTCAACGGATGAAGATGTTTTAGTCAGTCAACTACAACGTAGAAATCCATGCATACGAGCATACGTTCACATTGCCATACCGCATTGGCACAGACACGATAATGTCAGTTCAAACTCATAGTGGTAAGTGTACTTGAAGAGTTGGAGGTAATTGAGGAGAATAGGGTTCGAAGAAATTTTTCAAGAAGTTTAATTCAGTGATTTAACGTCAAAAAGAAGAAGATGGAGGGTGATGGTGAGATTTTAGGAATATAATTTCACAGAAAATAAAGAGTGAGTGCACCTGCGCCATTGCTAATTATTTTGAGCCATGTCATTCAAGGTCGCTAAGCATTGATTACTACAACCTCTCTAAAGTCAACCAGGTAGTCTACACTAACAAACATGACTCAGTCAGCTAGACGAGGTTACTTCTTTGGTACACCTCTCAATGACTGACACTGTCACAGAAATTCATGATCCACTAAGTAAAATGCCGCCCTAAGATCCAGGAAAACAACTATTGTAGGACGCCTAAATGTGTGTCTGTGTCCCAGGACCTGTCATAGTTTGAAAATGTGGTCTATACAACCACGTCCAGGTCGAAAACCAAACTGGTTTTCTCTAGTCTGCTCTTCACGAGCTGTCGTTAAGCGTCAAAGTATTATTGAGGCCAATATTTTAGAAACTATATTAGTTAAACTTATTCCCCTGTGATTGTTACAAGAAGACTTTTGACCTTTCTTATAAATTGGGACAATCAGTGATTGAAACCAGTTGGATGGGATAACGTCCAGTTCCCAGGTTCTAACTAAGATCTCAGTCAACTTAGCTGCTAAAACTGGACCACTATCCTTAAAGATCTCAGGGGTCAGTCTATCAGAACCTGCAATCAGTGAAGGTTATTTTACTTGCTTTATTATGAAGTCCAATTAAAGATCTATTCAAATGAAACTTTGTGATTGTACATAATTTTAAGCTGTATCTATTCATAGTTTTCAGCTGGTTTTGATTTTATAAACGACGAAGGTAAAATGTGGAGCGCATAAAACATACATGGTATGCTATTCAGCAATTACAGAAGCATCTCATATGAACTCGTACCGTTTGCTTCAGTGGCATAAGGTGATAAACGATCGAAAGAAGGGTTCTTCGAGGAGAAAGAAGAGTTATTAAGAGGTGTAGAAAGGATTTGATTGTGACCTATTCGGTCTCGAGTGCTGTTACCGGTATGAGGGCGGTTGTCACTTCCCGGCTGCCCACATCGTGGAAGGTTGTTTTTTGAGGTACCTGAAAAAGGAAAGTAGATTATCGTTGGTCTTAGAGACCTGGGAGCGTGACCCCAGAGTCGAAAGGACAACTGCTTGAGGCCGGCCACGCAGTCGCCTAATGAAAGGTTTTTTGAGGATTAGCTCCGTTCTTAAAGGCCCTTAGTGGGCACCCTTACCCAAGGGGACGGAAACCCGTGAGGTAGGGAGAGGTGTGGCAGTTTTGGGGTCGACCTTTTCTAATCCTTTCCTTTCTTGTGAGAAGGTAGCATCGCTGCAGATTCTGGTTGTCCGAGGGAAACACCTTACTGCTGTCACACCCCTTTGCAGTCAGCAGTACGACTTCACCCTCAGACCTTGGGTAGCTGCTTTCAGTCTCATCGTTCTCCAATCGACCTGCCTGGCATGGTAGAACCTACAGGAACATATGTTCCAGCCAATATGGCTCGGTTGAGTCATCACGATAGGCAAGCCCGTCCACCACGTCAAGGTTGCAGCTACGGTCGGGGCTCATATTAGTTAGTTAGCATTTCTAAGCATTTGACGTCGCCTAATATGAGATATACTAGGCTTGAATTCATCCCACAATCAAGTAATCATGGTCAGTGGGTAGAACTGCATGAACATTATACCATTCAACAAATATCTGCCAAATAAATTTGTAATGCTTTCCCTAAATATAAAATAATACATACACTATTATATATTCTAAGTAATGAGACTCATCCGAAATCGGAATCAGTCGAGTTATAATTGAAGAAAACATATTTTTCATTTGGTTGGTTAACAAATATGAAATCGATCTCTAGGGTATTTCTCAATAAAAAAAACATCGTACTCATTTTGTTGAACAGAACAACACAGAATTTCAAGCATAAACACATATGAAGGCTTTTTTCAAAATATGTATGTATATCTGTGTGTACCTGTTGTTTGCAGTTGTTCCATTGATGGTTCCGCATTCAATTGGCGTAAAGTAGCCCAAGTAATAAAAATCGATGACAATTTAAGTAAATGTTTTTGAATGTTGACAAGACTAGATGAATTCCGAGTGTCCGCTTCATTTAAATTCTACAAGTCACAATTGACAATGATAATTTTAATCAAAAATGTGATTATTTTTCTTTGATAAGAAAATACAGTTATCACTATTGAAACCAATCAAAGTACAATGTATTGAAGCAGAATTATTACTTCAGTGTTTTAGCTAGCTGAGTTCAACTGTGAATACTGATGAGATCAAATATATTCCTTAGTACTTTCTGTGAAGCGGACTAGACTGTTTGGCCGAATTAAAGCAAATCCAGCATAAAGTTGCATGATATGAGAATACACAGTTCCTGCTAAATATATTAATTGACGAATCACAATCAGTCCACCAAACATACATTAATGGTTTACAAATAATTCAGTTTTACGCCGTTGCCATACCATGTTAACACAGGTGATATACAGGCATTTAGTATGAAACTACACTTCAAAATCACTGATTACTAGTATTTTTGATAAGCTTCCACCATTTTTGAAATAATTAACAACCTGATTACTTGAAAACTGAACTTTTAAGGACAAACATTCCAGAAATCTCGTTGTACATCACTAGTATTCTACTAGTTGAAAGCTTCACTCTAAATCTCATAAAAATATATGCACATAGCAAACATCAGTCGGCAGTTACTGTGGTCATATGAAAAACTAAATATAGAAGTAATTAGGTGCATATGACCATGAAACAGGTTAACATTGCATACTGTTATGATGATCAAAAGTATTGTGAATCATTTGATTTTCTATGTTGATATATTAAAGTCACTATGCACACAGACTGAATGAATAAACATTCTCAATTAGAAATGAAATAAATTTTCTCAAGTTTACCTGATGATCTGTTTGTACTTGTTGAATGATTTGGATAATATTGCTCTTATCATAGGCTAGTTTGTACATGCTATTCAAACAATTCAAATCCACATTATCATTCGTTGAGATAATTGAATTCTCATGATTAATTAGATTGTCTTTCATTAATTCACATTCAGTCAATGCTCCTAATGTTGTCAAATTCAAATGTTCACTAGACTTTATAGTAAAAAGAATAATAATAATTGATAATTTACATGATGCATGAAGTGTTTGCACACGGTTCAAACATGCTCGCAAACACCTTCTCTTCTTCTTCACAAGTCTAAATATAAATTTACACAATAAAAAAATGTATAAACTTGCCAATGATGTATTTGTAAAGTTGATACCCTGCAACATTCTGTTACAATAATCCTTCAGTTTACAACAATAATCAATCCAACCAAACAAACGTTTAGATGAGATTCTCTGAAATGTCAGTAAAATGTAATACAAATCTAATGTTGGAGCATTATTACTTCGAAATAAAAGATAATTTGACCAAAGAAAATGTGTTATGTTATCTTTGCATTATGAGGTTGTGAAGATTGTTCAGTTACTTATTGAAATCATAAATCAATCAATGTTAGACCACCATTAGAAACCTCGAAGCACTGGACAGCTGTTTCGTTCTGGATTCATGATCTCACTAAGTATTTCATCTTTCTAAAATCAGCTGTTGTAAAGCAAATAGAGCTTTGTAACTAAGTACTGCTCTAAATCAACATCTTCAATGTCAGTAATATATTTGCGCTCAACTTTAAAGTTCAGTTTTACAATCAACCATCCTCAGATCAGTCAGATGCAACGTAGAACTTCGTACGTAAGTACATCAGTTCATGTTGCCATACCACATCAGCACAGAGATATAATTGTCAATTCAAATCCAATAGTATAAGAGGTAGTAAGGGTATAAGAAGTAATCGGAGAGGTTAGGATTAGAAGATATTATTCAAGAAGTATGATTCAGTGAAAAAAGTTTAGAAATTCAAAACCAGAGTTGTTGAAGAACCCAGAAGGTTAGGATTTGAGAGAACACAAAGAATAAATGCACCGGCGCCGTTGCGAACGATTTTGAGTCACGTCATTCAAGGTCCATAACAATCGATTATTATCATATCATCAACTGATGAAGTTTCATTACTTCATCTATTGATCTGCCATTCTTACCTAGCACCCGATTCCTAATAACAGCGTTGCTCACTCGGGTGTCCCGCGATATACGAGCAATGCTTCGAAGACACCTATGATCGAAAACCAGTAACCTACGAATATCTTCTACTCTCACTGGTCATGTTTCACAGCCATAAAGTAAGACAGAGCAAACCACTGCACAGTACACTCGTCCCTTAGTCAGCAAACGGATATCATGCCTACGCCATAAGTGACGCAGGTTGGCAAAAGCCAATCGAGCTTTCTGTATCCGAGCTGAGATTTCGTCAGTCACCAGGCCATCGGCACTGATGAGACTCCCAAGATAAGTGAGGCGGTCCACACGTTCGACTAATTCAATCCCTATCACTAGTTCAGGTGCCGATGAAACCCAATCTTGAAGCAACATTTTGCATTTCGAGGGGGAAAACCACATCCCGAACATGCTCGCATTGTTGCTTATGATAGTCAGAAGACTCTGCATTTTGTCAGCGTCTTCACTGAATAGAACTATCTAATCGGCATATTCTAGATCAGTAAGCCACTTTCCTGGTAGAAGGTCAACCCCTGAAAAATCTGACGACCTTAATGTTAACTCTAAGAGGATGTCTAAGATAAAATTAAACAAGAATGGAGAAAGTGGACAGCCCTGACGCACACCACTTGAAGTAAAGAATTCGCGTGACAGTTCGCCATAAGCTCTCACTCGACCAGTGGTGTTCGAGTAGAGAGCTTGTATGAGGTTAATGTACTTCTTTGGTACACCTTTCAATGACAGACACTGTCACAAAACCTCACGATCCACTGAGTCAAATGCCGCCTTAAGGTCCAGGAAGACAACTATTGTAGGACGCCTAAATGTGTCTCTAAGACCAACACTAATCTATCTTCCTTTTCAGGTTCCTCAAGAAACAACCTTCCACGATGTGGGCAGCCGCGAAGTGATATCCGCCCTAATACCCGTAACAGCACGAGACCAAATCGGTCGAAATCAAATCCTTCCTACACCCACACATACCTATCTTCTCTCCACAACTAACTCTTAGGAATCCTAGTGTAAGTGAGACTATCTCGGAAAAGGATGGGACTATTATTTAATCTCAATCCAGGAGACTGGATCGATGGGCAGAGCACTTTAGAGATCAGTTGAACTCTCCTTCAGCCACACTTCGGTTGTCCACAAGCTCCAGTCAATCTGAATGGCAAATCGATGTAAGTCCTCCAACTGTCAACGAAACTTACAAAGCTATAGAAAATCTGAAGTGAGGGAGAGCATCAGAGCCTGAAAAGCTTACCCCTGATAGGTTTTTTGAGGATGGTGGTCCGGATTTAGCAGTTAGGTGGACTGAGATCTCAGGTAGTATTTGGGAACTACGCGTAATCCCATCCAACTGGTATCAATCCCTGATTGTTTGAATTTATAAGACAGGACGAAAATCCTCTTGCGACAATCACATACAAATCAGTTTAACTAATATAGTGTCTAAATTGTTAGCCTCCATGATATTCTGACGCCTAACTAGAGCTCGTGAAAAGTAAACTAGAGAAAACCAGGCCGGTTTATGACCTGGACATGGATATACAGACCAAATATTCACACTACGTCAGGTCTTAGAACAAAGATACACTTTCAGGCACCCCACAATAGTAGTATTTCTCGACCTTTGACTCTGTCGATCGTGAGGTACTGTGAGTGTCTGTCACTCAAACGTGTGCTAAAGAAGTACATTAACCTCATACAAGCTCTCTATTCAAACGCCACCGGTCGAGTGAAAGCTTATGGCAAACTGTTTTCCAAATCGACTACTTACAGTGTTGTTCGTCAGGGCTGTCCAGTCTCTCTATACCCATTTAACTTTTTCGTAGATAAGCTTTTAGAGTTACCGTTATTTTTGTCTGACTTTTCCGGTGAAGACCTTCTATCAGGAGACTCACCTGTTGACTTAGAATATGCCGATGACAGTTCTACTTGGTGAAGAAGCTGGTAAAATGCAGTGTCTCCTGACTACCATAAGCAACAATACAAGAATGTTTAGGATGCGGTTCTCCCCGTCGAAATGTGAAGTGTTGCTTCAAGATTGGCCTGCGACGGCACCTGAACTAGTGATAGGTAGTGAAACAGTCGAGCTTGTCCATCGCTTCACTTATATGGGGAGTCTCACCAGTGCTGATGGCCTGGTGACTGACGAGATCTCAGCACGGATACAGAGGGCTCGATTGGTATATCCTGGGACAACCGAGTAAGCAATGCTGTCGTTAAGAAACGAATTCTAGGTAGGGATGGCAAATCAATAGATGAAGTAGTGAGACTTCATCAGTTGAGGTGGTTGGGACATGCGTTACGTAGGCCTAACCACCGAGTGCCTCGATGAACGATGTTTTGTGGTGTAGGAAGGAGTAGGCTGGAAGAAAGCTAGGGGCGGCCAAACCAAAACATGGCAGAAATCCATGAAGTCACTGACAAGTGTTGTTAGATGTAGGCTACCTGTTTGGGGTCCGCGAGATGAAAGTCACCGACTGTTAGAGACCTTGAACGACATGGCTCAAAATCGATTGTAATGGCGCAGGTGCATCCACTCTTGTTGTTCTTTAAATTATAACCTGAATTCCTCATTATCTCTATCTTTCTCTTTCTAATTTCATCTCACTTAACCATACTTCTTGAAAAACATATTCGAACCCTAATCTTCTGCATTACTGCCAACACTACCTCTATGGGATTTGAACTGACAGTTGCGTCTCTGTGCTTATGTGAGATGGCAACCTGAACTGACTGACTGACTGATATCAGAGCGCACAACCTTTTGGAAGAGGTTCGAAAGGTTTCTGCAAAAAACTCATCTTCTACCTCGTCTGAACTGCAGTCAGAGACGCGAGAGCGTGACCGCAGAGCCCAACGGACAACTGCTTCAGGTCGGTCACGCACGGCCTCTATATATGGAAAATTTCCAAAGTTGTAGCGGCCTGATTAACGGAAACGGAAATCCGTCAGGAAAGACGTGACATTGTCAAGGTCGACCTTTTCTAACCCTTTATTCCTTCCTTTTGAGAAGGCAGCATCGCTGAAGATGCTGATTGTCCAAGGGAAGCACCTTACAGTCAGCCCTCAGACCTTGATTGGCTGCTACTAGACTCACTTTTCTGCAACTGACCAATCTGGTTTGATAGAACCTACCTAAATTTACGTTCCAGCCTACAAAGCTCGGTTGGCTCATCACGACAGGCAAGCCTGACTATCACGTCAAAGTAGGGTCTGGGGTCGGTCAGTGATAACAACATAAATCCTGACATGAAGCTGCACTTATTTACAACAATCAAAAATATTTCTGATGGAAACACACTCCCAATTAGGATTTTATCCTTAAATTAATCTTCGAATTTCAGTTTCGATATACATTTTACTAAAAAATCCGGTAGGTGAACTAGGAAATCAGGACCCTAATAATGCCAACTTATTGCAGCTATAAATGAAGAACTAATAACCTAACCTAGAATGAATCCATTCAGTAGGAGAAATTTTTGGCAAGACAAATTCTATTGGAATGAGCGGAAGTAATGGTAGCGATGTTAGGTTCTGGAGTCTGTCAGATTATGATATCGTAAGCCAACTTGTTAGCTGACACTTGACTAGATTAAAAATGATAGAAACTAGATAAACTTACCATTACAAACTTCAGATGATTAGAAAAATCTGTCAGGGGTTTAGGGACTTCACGATATGTCGATTTCAATTCCTTTGTAATGCCATCAATGAAGGTAAGCGTCTCCAATACCATGTTGTTGACGACTCTTGTAATGTAGGTTTCTTGTCTGTTGACATTTAGGCAAAAAGAAAGTGAAGATGCGAATTGTTGGATCCACTTAACAAAGGTATCCAAAAAGATGATTTTTAAACCGACAGTTTCCGCAAAATCTAACGAAAACTCTTGAGAAGTATCAAAGACCAGTAAAGAATCTAAAATATAAGCTTATTAAGTCACAAGAACCTGTAAGAAATTTGAGGTGAGAAGTGTCATTAGCTTTCCATAACAACTTATGAATTAATCTGACGGAGCTGTAGGGAAGAGCAAACGTCCTTTGCGAAGGTCGAGTCGACATTTGAAACGAAGACATTGCACTCAGTTTATGTACGCGATTATAAACAAACAACGTCCTAGTGGACATATTAATGACAAAGATTGAATTTTTGAAACATCTAGAAAATTCAACTACAATAATGAACTAACAAAATATCACCTACTTATGTAGTTACTTTGAAACATTACTGAACAACAGTGTTTATTGCTGAAAAATACCCTCAGTCGACAGTAGTAATAATGGACTTGCTCGGTTTAAGCCTGCAGTGAGCGCATTATAGGCTGACAAGGAGGGATAGAATCATAATGCATCAGACTTTTCAATGTTAACGACTCAAAAAGTAACTCTAGAACGTTTCAGTGGTAAATTACTCCTAATACTAGATTTATACAAGATAGAACATGAGTAAATTCACATGTAAAGCTCCAATGACCATATCCATTGCTGAATTTTAAAAATCCGGCTCAATAGACTTGTGTGCTCTCTTTGCACCAAGGCGATAGCTTTAATTATTATTACCCGATCACTTCGATTAGCCGCCTGATACCTGTCTGGTGTTTTCTGCCGGTCTGAAGAGATGGGCTGAACATAACGTTTGTTACCCTAAATCAACCAACCAGAAAGAATAACTCAAACCATTTAGGCCTTGCCTTGGTATTTGGAACATTTCCATTTTGAAGTGTTATGACGCCTCATGATGAAAGCCGAGTTTCGTAGGAAGTCATGGAGCCGGTGCCCCTTCTCAAACCAGAGCAACAATTAATAGAATTACAGGGAATGTTAGCATATTGTCGGAGCACGGAAAGACTACTGAAGTTGTTGCAGAAATGAGGAGAAACAACCTGGCATTGCGTAGAATAATTGAAACACTTAAGACGTAGGCTGGATAAAAAGGATTAGCTTCAGGAGAGATGCTTCTGTACTCTGTGAAGAATAAGACGCCTAATGCACGCAAAGAGATACATTTAAGCTGTCAAAAAGAGCTCGGAAAACACTTGCAGGATAGGAATCTCATGGACCCAGCATCATCAAAGCCTCCTTCAAAACAAAGAAAGAGGGCATCACAATGAACATCATACAATGCAATATCAGAGATAGCAATGACGATGTTAACGACCAGTGCCATGGAAGTTGTAGTCAACCGTTGAGAAATGCCTAACAAAGCACTTGATCATTCTGGTGTGAGACCTAAACTGCGAGGTTAGAATGCGAAACAGTGGATATGAAGATATCATGGGATGACATGGAGTGAGAGAAAGGAATGAAAACGGAGAGAGATTTGCGAATCTATGTGCCTTCAACAGACTGGTCATAGGCTGCAACGTATTCCCATACAAATGGATGCACTGAGTTACATAGGTTCATCGGGTTACACTACACAGAACCATGTAGACCATATATATCAATAAAAATTTCGGATGAACGATGGAGAATGTAAGAACGAAGAGAGCAGCCGACATTGCTCCAGACAATCACTTGGTGGTAGGTGAACATGAAACGAGTCAATAGCGTTTGGGAAGAACTGGAAAGGAGGGCCGAGGACAAAGTTGTTTGAAGAATGATGTATAGTGGCCCATACTCCTTTATGGATGACAGACATTTAGTGAGCGAGTCCGGATACCATATTGACTATGCTCACCACTAAATGTTCCATACGGTCGCGTGACGAAAAGCAGAACAAAATAAATCAATACTCCATGGTTTTATTGAAGGAGAACGTTGGCATTACATAGGGAGCAGCAAATAGAGAAACATGACGGCAACGGTAAGAGAACGTTGCGCGCAAGAAGTCAAAGAAGTGTTTTTGGTACAGTTAAACAAAACGAGTACAATAATGTTTATTTTTCACAAATCGTATTTTCTTCGTAGAAGCGTTCCACTACAGCAGCCCGCGCCTAGAAAGGGCTTACACTTTCGATACATAGCGGCTGCGTTTGATGGGGAGGGCTGGTCGGCCAACATTTGGTTGTAGCGCGGAAGGGTTGACGAACAGGAAGCGACCAATGAAGCTCGAGTTGTCACCGATAGTCTTCTACGTTGAACTGTACCAGTAGTAACGTGCCAGGTATGCTGCTCGAGTTGACGTGCCAAGTTTGTCTATCGGATTGGCATGCCACACCAGCGTGGCTCGTATCCAGAGTGTGAAGATTGCTTTCGTAGGCGTTCGGACCAGATAAAGCTGCAGACGTAGGACGGAACCAGATTGAGCGGAGCAAGAAACGACCATTTCGAAACCATTCGTATACTCGATATATTCGTAACCAGAAAATCGACTGAGTGCATTGACAAGAGCATGGGGGATCAGGCCAGCTTTCGCCAAGGTTGACTGAAGTCGACGGTACCAACAGGGCAATGGTCAGAGGTATAGACTCAGGATAAAAAAAAGAAGAAAAGGGAGAAGAGTGTAGCATGCATGGAGTACAAGTGTAAAATCCTATGCCGAAACCGTGGTTGATTGGTATTCAGTCGAGAAAGCGTACAGGTAGGCGTACGCGGCGACCGGCACGCGAGACAGTAGGCTTGTGCGTACCTCGTGATCCTGCATTCTCATCCGCAGTCAAGTGCGGCGTGGTCTGCTGATCTGGACGTGAGACAGGAGTCTCATCCGTAGATAGTGCAGATGGCGCGTGCTGCTGACTGGGACGTGAGAATGAGGTCTTTGGTTTATCTAGCGTGGGATCAGAAGGAAAAATAAGGATTTCGCTAGTGAGTTGGACGAGTCCAGCATTAATCTCGATTTGCCGGGTTGGGCACTGTCATTGACGTGCGCTGGTATGAGACGATCAATGCTGACTGTGTCCATCAACCTTGAAGGTCTTTTCGTGACGGGAGATCACGTGAAAAGATCCTTCGTAAGGTTGTTGAGTACCGAATCTATTAGTAAGAAAACTTGCGGACAGGTAAATAACTCTCGAGGGAGAGCGACCTGTCGATGTTATATCCGAGTTCACACCGGCGGCAGTATTCGCATCTACGCAGATAGTCGTTGAACGTAATCTGATATACATAAAATCGCTGCTCCGTGGTGTGAAGAAATTCCCCTAAACAGATGCAGTGTCGTGCCGTATACAAGTTCGGAGGCGGGACAATGGATATCTGCCGTTGCTGCTCCGTATTCGCCATGTCGTCTCCAACAAATGCAATCTTTATGCGAACCGAGTGGAGAGGATGTAGAATCTTTTTTGAATGTTTTGTTTTTTGGAAAATCCTTACATGTATATATATTTGTGTTATGATATGACGGACTCTTTCTGTTGACATTTTGGTAATCTATTTGATTCCATTTTCAGATTTTATCATTGTATATTATTATTATTTTTATATTTTGTACTTATATTGAAGTTTTTATGTTTGCTTCTGAACTGTACACATGTTGTTTAAATTTGATATTTAATATGGCTACAGCCATATTTTGGATTTGATATCGTCGCAGTATACTAGCTTCACCTAGTCTTTGGAACTCGGATACTCATCAGAGTAATTTCGACTTGGAAGATGTAACAATTGTCAGGTAAACGTTTGTATTTCCATTTCTTCTCTATAAATAGACCACTTTCTCCTAGAATTATTGTGTTTTGATATTCGACTAAGGGAAGGTGCGTTCGACATACGTCTATTGGAATCGAATTGAACTGCCACGGTAGAAAATCCAATTACAGTCTGACAATTGAGAAGAACAAGCCTACTACAGTCTGATTATTAAGAAGAATAAAGAAACATTTGGAATTTTAATCGTGTACAATATTAAACTTCTTGGAAGAAGAACTTTGGATTACTTATCTCTTTTTTGATCGAACTGTATTTTGGAAAACGATTTTCTGATTTTGGATTTTACTAACGAAAGTTTACCGGTGGAATTTCTATATTTTGTATTTGTTATTTATCTTCCGTTGAACTTCAATCAACCATGAGCAACCGAAGGAAAACAAAAACGAAGAGGGCGGAAGAGCATGAAGAATCCCGAAAGGCTAGGCAAGTCGTTTATGATTCGTCTTGTTTAATGGGTTCCCTTTCCACCAGCAATGATGTTATTTTTGATACTTATTATTGTAAGTCACCCTTAGAAGGCATTAAGGAACAAAGTTTGGGCGAGAATTCTAAGGTACCAGAGCAGGATCAGATGCTTAGGACACCGATAGTAGGCTTAGAATTACCTAAGGTTGAACTTTTATTCTTTGACGGCAAACACCGCGACTACTTTAGATTTATTAAGCAAATTGAATCGTTTATAGAACCTAGAGTAAAGGATGATAATTTGCGTTTATTATATTTAATTCACTACTGTAAAGGAAAAGCAAGAAATGCGATTGAAGGTTGTCTTATATTGGATCCACAAGTGGGATATAAGAGAGCTAAGGCTATTTTAAGACAGCTCTTTGGACAGTCGCATGTGATAGCCCGTGAGACCTTGGAGGACTTGTTTAGAACCGGGAATGCAGATTATAATGATCCTGAGCAATTGACGAATTTGGCGATTAAAATGCAGAATGCTGCTCTAACCCTCTAGAACAGTTAAATTGTACAACATAACTTTATTCCCTGGTTACTTTAGAACGAATAGTTAGGCTCTTACCTCATCGAATGCAAGCCCAGTGAGCAGAGCTGGGAATTAAGTGGGACGAAGAAGAAAGAGAACCTAATTTCAATGAACTGACGGATTTTATTATGTCTCGTGCTAAGATTCGGAAGATTAGCTAATCGTGCTAAAACATCACATGGTACGGACGCTATTAGTGATCTGCGTGCGAGACAAGAGGATTCTTCGTTTAAACCTACTTCACACCCGGAATTTAAGAGAGTTGTCAATTGTATAAGAAAAGTATGCCACGTTGAAAACCGAGTATGTGACCGCTATGATTTTAAACCCCTTGATGCGTATCCTAGTAAGGAAAGCAATGTTGATCGAGTAGAGTTAGCCACTGTGCATGAGTCGACTGGATGTCATGAGAAGTGTACTATTGCTTGTACAGATGCGGCTATCAATGATAACAGCATTGATGATACTCCTGCGAGTAATAGTGATCGATGGAAGTTGAAAGACACTCATCGTCGTCGAAATGA